ATACATAAATAATTATTTTATTTTGTATAAAATTATCAAATATAATTTTATCTTCATTTGTTTTGTTTTTATTGTTTATGTTTTTTCTGTATTAGAAAAGTAACGGTACTTATAAATATGTATTATCAATGTATTAGATTATTGTATTTTGTTAAATATTGTTTAAAACTAAAACATAATGAATGGAGAGTACCACCATTTAATTATTATAACTTGTGAATTATTATCAAACACAATTTTACTAAACACAATTTTTTCTTCTTTTTTTTCTGTCTTTTTTTTTTATTATCTTCTTCTCCTTTTTCTTTTTCTTCTTCTTTTTTTTTTATTTGCGAGAGAACAAAACATCACATAATAATATATATTTAAAAGAAATTATCTTATTTTGTCAAATATTATTATTTAAAACTAAATCATAGTGAACGTATAGTACCACCATTTAATGTTTGTTCTCTCTCTCCTGTCTTGATTGCAGATTTCAGTTAATCTGAAAACTATCAATCTCAGCAACTCACTGTACCTGACCAATACTCCGGATTTTACTGGAATTCCAAATCTCGAGAGTCTGATTCTTGAAGGCTGTGCAAGTTTATCTGAGGTCCATCCATCATTTGGATGTCACAAGAAGCTTCAATTTGTGAATCTTGTGAATTGCAATAGTCTAAGGTTTCTACCAAGCCACCTTGAAATGGAATCATTAAAAGTTTGCACTCTCAATGGCTGCTCGAAACTTGACAAGTTTCCTGATATAGTAGGAAACATGAACTGCTTCAGGGAGCTTCGTTTAGATGGGACTGCTATTGCAGAACTATCTTCATCATTTCATTGTTTGGTTGGTTTAGTTCTATTGAGCATGAACAGTTGTAGGAACCTTGAAAGTATTCCCAGTAGCATAAGTGGTTTGAAATCCCTCAAAAGACTTGATGTGTCTGACTGCTCTGAACTTAAGAACATACCAGAGAATTTGGGGGAAGTAGAAAGTTTGGAGGAGTTTGATGCAAGTGGAACTTCAATTAGACAGCCCCCAGCGTCTATTTTTCTTTTGAAGAATCTTAGAGTATTGTCTTTTAATGGATGCAGAAGGATAGCTGTGAATCTCACGGATCAAGCATTGCCTTCTTTGTCTGGTCTGTGTTCTTTAGAAGAACTGGATTTACGCGCTTGTAATCTAGGAGAAGGAGCAGTTCCTGAAGATATTGGGTGCTTATCATCATTGAGGAGTCTAAATCTGAGCAGAAATAACTTTGTTAGGCTGCCTAAAAGCATAAATCAGCTTTCTAGGCTTGAAAAGCTTGCCTTGAAGGATTGTGTAATGCTTGAATCATTGCCTGAGGTTCCTTCGACAGTTCACAAAGTAAAATTGGATGGCTGTTTAAGACTAAAAGAAATTCCAGATCCAATAAAGCTATGCAGCCTGAAAAGATCAGAGTTCAAATGTCTTAACTGTTGGGAACTGTACAAGTATAATGGCGAAAACAACATGGGTCTGAACATGCTTGAAAAATACCTTCAGGTCTTCTCTTCATCATACCCAATCTCCCCCCCTCCCCTCCCCCTCTCTCTCTGAAACATTTTTGTTTTATGATGCAGGGCTCATCTCCAAGACCTGGATTTGGTATTGTTGTTCCTGGAAATGAAATCCCAGGCTGGTTTACTCATCAAAGTAAGGAATCTTCAATTAGGGTGCAGGTGCCTTCTAATAATGTGGATGGTGATGATAATGGGTGGATGGGGTTTGCTGCATGTGTTGCATTCAGTACATATGGTAAAAGTCCTCTCTTTTGTCATTTCAAAGTCGATGGAAAAGAGAATTATCCTTCGCCCATGTATATAGGTTGTAACTCTATGCAAGCTCTGCCAGATCATCTGTGGTTATTCTATTTATCTTTTGATTATCTAAAAGAGCTTAAAGAACGGGAGAACGAAGCCTGTAGCGAACTCGAGTTGTCGTTTCGTTCTTATGATCGAGGCGTAAAGGTGGAGAATTGTGGTGTCCGTTTGGTAAATTCTCCGTATACTCCATCATGGCAATCACCTACTGGCCATCTTATTGTTGCAAGCAAAGAAGCAGCTTCTTCATATATGGATTCTTTGGCTAATTCTTCATCTTACTGTCAATGGAAGCATGATGTCTTCTATAGCTTCAGAGGTGAGCACACTAGCTATAATTTCACCCATTTGTACACAGCTCTAGCCCAGAGAGGCATTATCCGAGGTGACACAGAACTAGAGTATCTAAGGGTAATTGAATCGAGTCTCCTAAGGTACATCAAAGAGTCGGGCCTGTCAATTATTATATTTGCAAGAGATTATGCTTGTTCAGATTGGTGGTTGGACGAACTTGTCAAGATTGTTGGATTCATGGAAAAGATGAAATCGGACACTGTTTTTCCAGTTTCAACAGTTTCTTATAATCGCGAGCAATCATTGGTAGATGAACGAACAGAGAGTTACACGATTGTCTTCGACAAGGATGAAGAAGGTTTCAGTGAAGATAAGGAGAAGGTACAAAGGTGGATGGATATTCTCACCGAGGTCGCCGTTTCATCTGGATCGGAATCATCGAAAAGGTAATTTTCAAGCCTTTTGTGGAAGTTTAGTCTTGTTTTATCTATACGTAGAAACTTGGCATTCATGAAAGATTAAAAGCTACTAAATTTCTCGTGCTAATTAATTTTATGGTGATTAGTTATTTTATAAGCTCACCTTGCAGAGAGATACAGACACAAAACCCATGTATATAGTGGATAGAGTTTTAAACTTCACTAAGAATTCTTGTTTCAGGGTGAATGACATGGATTGGCCAGTTGGAAATAGGTTTCACGGGACTGACATGGCGTTTGTGCAGATCTTCCGGAAGAAGGTCCTTGAGGAAAGAAGCGATCTTGATTTCGAATATGATGTTACTCTCAAGTAAAACTAATCATAATTTTTAGTTTTTTTTTATGGATAATTTTTTTTTATTGAGAATGATCTTGTTTGTTGTTGTATTTTAAAAATATTTTTTAAAAAAATTCAATATTTTTATTTAAAATTAATTCAAACATGTTATTCTTAACAAATAAAAATAAAAATGACAGCGTTAATTGATTGAGAAATAATAGCTTAATTTCTATCAAAATTATTATGTTTTGTGTTGGTTGATATAATGATTGCACGTAGGTGTTTCCTTGAAAGAAACATGGAATTAAAAGTTGACAGGTTAGGATATATAAAGAAGGGAATCTAGATTTGCCTGTTTGACAGATTTTTCAAAATAATTTAATTTTTTGAAATTAATATTTTTTTTTATATTTTTAAATTATTTTAATATACTAATTTTAAAAATAATTTTTAAAAAATAAAAAATTAATATAGACATATTTTTTTAACAAAAAAATATTTTAAAAACAATTACAATCACATTCTTAAAATAAAAAATGAATTCCAACATAAATTTTAAGAGAACCATGATCAAATCAGCTATTTCAAGCTTTCATAACACAATTAAGCTATATGTTTCCAATTTTAATCATTTATGTTCTTTTTTTAATCCTGATTAATTACCGTATAAATTCTCTAAAAATAGAATAATAATTTTTAATAAATAAATTAGTAAGACGAATTCAAGTTTCTGGGAGACTTACAAAAGGCGTCTACTTCTATCAAAACATGTCCAATGCTAGCAACATTCTCACTAAAAAAATAAAAATAAATAAATAAATCAATCTCGAGAGGTTGATAGATCTGATGGTTAAGAATGTTTCATAGTTTTTAATTTCTTTGTATGAGCAGCTAATTTTTTTTATTAATTTTCTCTTAATTCATCAAATTAATAAGATGAATTATCTTAATCCATCCAATTAAATATAAGACACAGAGTTGAATCCGCATGCATGCCATGCCACCCAGTGCCAGAAGGAAACTAGATTTTGACTCCTGCATTTCTCATCAAAGGCCAAGTTCTCAAGTCATTGCACCGACCAGAGGCACATTCTTTCCCATGCATGCTTTATCTCCAAATTGCCATTCCACCTGCGTCTGCAACTTTGATGCTCCTGTTGCAGCATCATTTTATCTATGATTAATCTTATTTTTTTTTAATTCAAGAAAACCCCATCTTTTAAAAAACATATTTCATGCATTCAGATAAATTAGTAAATACCTAATTATCCTATACTTTTATGAAAAATACATATCCTGACTCAAACTTATTTATATAAAAAATACATATCCTGACTAAACTCATTTTATTTATGATTTATCCCATATGTTTTATCTCCAAATTACCATTCCAACTGCGTCTTCAAACTAGATTAGGGTTGTGTTTCCAGCACCAGTTATCAATTTTAAATTTTCCTGATGCATGAAGCTCCACGACAGGAGGAGGGGTGCCATATGATATCATTTTCTTTGGACTTTCTCCACTGAAAGTCGTCTATCCTCGAAACTATACCGCTATGAGTCCCTGATCCAAAGAAACTGGAAAAAAAAAATCCACAAATGTTGCTAGCACTAGAAATCCATGAATGTGCATATCACAAAATCATACCAAATTTCATTTCCATGATTTTCCCTACACTTATACAACATAAAATCCACATTAAAACTCTATCCCAAATACAGTTTAATCATACCTATAAATTAATAAATGGACATACATTATCACACAATTTAAGCAAATTTTTTTATCTTCTACAATATCCTCTATCGTCGGCTCTAATTACACCTATCTCCCCTTGATGTTTTTTGAATTTTTCTCTTAATATTTTCTTCTTGTCATCCTTTCATGTCAACTTAAACAAAATCCTACAAACCATCCTTTTTTCCAAAAAATTTTCATGAACCCTAAAATTATAAATTATAAATTTTTGTTTCTTTCTTATAAAACAAAGTATCTTCTGGATTTAGTTGAGAAAAAGTCTTTTATCTTTATTAGAAAACTGAATTTAACGAGTGTTTCTCAATTCCTCCGTAAATCAAACCTTATCCAAATCCAAGCTCTCTCTTTCTAGCTTCTATATATTCCATCACATTCTCTCTCTTTAAAATACCCCCCCTTTAATTTGTTTTTCTAGATAGAAATATTTTTAAACCCTCTTAACACTAAAATCTTGGAAGATCACCATTTAATTATTTTTTTTTAAAAAAAATTGATCAATATCAAGCTTCTCCTCCCAAAAAAACAAAATTGATCAATATCAAGCTTCTCCTCCCCTAAAAGAGCTTTCAACTAAAATAGTACCCAAAAAGTACTATGGGAAATTATATTATTAAATTAAGACAATTCCATTACTAAATATTTATATGATATTTCACTATATTTTTGTTCTACTATTGGCATTAGTATAAGCCTTTCTTGAACTCTAATTAACTTGAATTTTTATTTCAAAATAAAAAAATATATCAGAAAACTCCTTATAAAATTTTAACCCCATCTAATAGTTAAATCGAGATTTATGCTTGTTATCATAAAATTAGATAGTAGATAGTTTTAAGAAAAATTCAAATTTGAGTATTATTTTATTTACTTAGATCCTCAATATTTTTAAATTAATTCATTGGGCATTCTCATCCATAATTATAATAAGATTTTCCTCATAGTATTTATCATGTTTGGTCAAAATAGTGTGATTGTACGGTAAGCTTATATTGGCGATTACTGTTTTTTACGTATAAAATCATACATTATTTTATTTGTAATTCCACTTTATTATTATTATTATTATTATTATTATTATTATGTGGACGACATTGAATGGTGGATTTGTCTCTTGGATCGAGGTGATTTTGGATGTGCTAAGATTAATCATAAAATTATGATTAATAGGGTTTATGGGTCACTACCTAGTGTTTTGATCACTAAAAAATCTAATAATCTATGATAGTCTGGGTAAGCAAAATATATATACACAAGAAAACACATCACCCCTAGTGCACTCTAATTCTGGTAAGCTGCATTATTGATTGGTTATTTTTTCTTTCTAAGTCATGTTTATATTCACTAGTCTATCTAAGGTTCAAGAAAAGTCATTCTCAATAATGAGATCTTTACATTATCAGGTTAAAACCTAACCATTCTAAAGCCAAGATTTTAATGGTGTGTTTTGTCGCACTTGAGTGGCGTCGCGGCGAAAACATCCACCCTCAAAATCTTATCTAATGCGACAAATATAGGGAGACAAGAAATTCTTGTCTTTTATTAGTGAAAAAATAAAATGAGAGTCGCCACCTAGTATTTTAGTCACTAGAAACCCTAGCTGGTCTCAGAGATCGGGTACGGGGACTAGTTGCGTAAAGGGAAGGTATTAACACCTCAAATACACCCTATCTAAGGTAGACTGCTTTGTTTTATTGTATGATAAAATCTAAGGTCTTGTCATGTTTTCTAGTTATTAGTCCGTCTATGGTTTAAGAAAAGTTCTCCTCGATAAGGAGGTCCTTGTTTTATCGGGTAAAATCTAACCATTCTAACGTCAATAAAAGAATTTAATATCTGGAATGCATTTTATGTATAAGGTCGTAACCCCAAATATTAAAAGAAAACAAAATAATTTTTATAGAATTTTTGAAATATTGGTCAATTCTCATGACTTTAATAAACTGGTTATTAAGCCAAAATACATGTTAAAACCCTTTTTTTTTAATAAAGATATGATATGATATATTTTTTTTAATTTTTTTAGAGAGACTTGGCCGTTTGCATGAAAACAAAATATTTTATTTTATTTTATTATTATTTTTTTGTTTTTATTTTTTTATTTTTTGACAAAAACTAAATATTTAATATCAGATTTATATCTTTACAGTATAAAAATACAAATCAATATTAATCAAAATACAATAAAAATATTTGTAGATAATCATAAATTTTTTATAAAAAAAATTTTTAGTTAAGCAAAACCTAATCTATATAACTGGGCTAAATCTAGCCACCTGGTCATTGCCTCAAGCCCATACCCAACCAAGCCATACATGCATAAAATTTTACGCGTGCATGGAACAGTGTGAAGGTAATTAAATTACCTTCACACAGTTCATTCTTTGTTTTTTACAGATAGCAAAACAAACGCAGACCCCAGTTTATAGAGTGCATGACGATCTTTAGACTTTTCTTTTGTCTTATGTTTTCCTTTAATTTCTCTAGACAAACATGCATCAATTTTTGCAAAGAAAGGAAATGAACATACCTGGAGAAAGGAAATTGGTGGTGGCTGCTGACCTCCCCTGCTGTCTATGAGCTTTGCTCTGCCGCTCAGGTTCTCCTTATTCTTTTGTTTCTATCTCCTCGTGCAGCCTTCCTTTGTGTTTCAATCTCCTGTATTCCCGCTGTGTTATCTCCTCTTCTACTCCTCTATTCCTTACGTTCTCCCTCTCTTGGTTTTCCTTTTCTCTCTTACACTATCCCCTCTCTATTTTTTCTTTGCTGTCTCGTTCTCCTTCTCTCCTCCTCCCTTTTTGTCCCGTTCTTTCCTCCTCTTTTCTCTTCTTCTCCTCTCCCCCCTCCCTCAGTGCAGTACATCCTCTGGCTTTTATAGCCAGAGGATGCAACCGTTTTCCTTTGCAGGGATAGAGTAACGGCTAGAGAGATATCAACAATGGAAAATGGCCCCTTGATCATTGCCTTCACTAATGCAGTCGTTTCTCCGCCAGCTGCACTGTAACGTCTTCTGAAGAAGACAGTGAACAGTGTTGAGCGAATCGGCTGTTTTTACCAATTTTAAATAATATTTCTGATTTGATGATTAAATGTTTATGCAAATGATTTGATGCTTAAATGTTTATGCAATTTTTTAATCAAGTTTCTAGAAAAATTATAATTAAACTCTTGATTTAATTAAATTAATTTTTCAAAATTATAATTGCATCTCAGAACTTTAATTTTTTCTAACAAAAACCTAAATTGACTTAAATAATCAATGTTTTTGCAATTAAACCCTCTATAAATTCAATCAA